ATGGACTTTATCACAGACTTGCCTCCATATCAGGGATGTTGCCCAATATGGGTAGTAATAGACAGGTACAGCAAGATGGCTCACTTTGTCCCACTTCCAAAACGTCCATCACCAAAAGAAGTTACATCTTTAATCAATAAACATATCTCAGGGTTGCATGGGGCAGCGATTAATATCGTCTCGAACCATGGCTCTCAGTTTCTAGCCCAACTATGGATTAGGTTGTCATATACTGTACGTCAGTTTATCATCCTGAGACAAATGGCAAAAACAGAAAGGACTAATCTGACTCTATGTTGTCTAATGGCCAATGATGATGTCAAGTGGGTCAACATCCTTCCATGGGCTGAGTTTGCTTTCAACAATTGTGCCAGCACCTCCACAGGTGTATCTCCTTTCTACTCTATCTATGGTTTGAAGCCTCGTGTATGTTCCTTTGATCTTCCACCCTCCAATGTTCCGGATGCCAACACTGCGATTGAAACATTTTCCAAAATCTGGTCTAAGGTCATTTGTGCTTTTTATGGCTTTGTACATGCTTTAGAGAGAATGTCTGACGAGAGGCGCTTGAAAGCACCTGCATATAAAGCTGGTAACAAAGTATGGCTATCTTCAAGGAATCTGTCCCTGCATATACCAGCTAAGCAACTTGGCCCAAAATTCATCAAACCCATGAAATTTCAGATTGTTAATCCCAGTGACCTGTAGGTTAAAACTTCCCCCACCTATTAGACATGTGCAGCATACAAATTTGTTTTCAGATGAAACAAATGAAAAATCAAAACATTTTCATTAATTTCGTTTGACGAAACGAATAATTATGATGTTTCGGAACCAACAAATCTCTGAATCCGAAATTGCACATTCAAACAGCGGCCACCAGCACGTTCTGTATCTTGGAGGCGAAGTGCATGCGCGGAGCCCATACATGCATATGGCGTCATGAGCTCACGTGCCAGTGGCCAATGTGATTGTCGGGTCCCGGTCCGAGTGGCTCCAGGTCGGGTGCCGGTCCGAGGGACGTACAATGTCCCAGTACAAGCCAGTGTGCGGGGACGCACACGGAGGGGACATCCCGGCAGTATCGCTGGGCCGCGCAGGCGCAGACGCCCTGTGACCCGGCGGGGATCCGCCCCGCACGGCGTGACGTCATTACACTGGCGTGCGCGGGTGACGTCATCACGGCTTCAGCCTATTTAAAGCCCCACAGGGCTGTAGATCATTGCTGTGTGATTTTCAGCCAGCACCAGTCGTCTGTTGATCTTGCTCCTGTTGATACCTGTGACCTGGCTTCCTCCCTGACTATTCTCCTGGATTGCCCTTCTGTACCTTGTTGCCTGCCTCCTACTGACCCGGCTTGCCTCTTGACTCTCCATTGGATCCTGCCTTGTACTTCGCTGCCCGCCTGTTACCAACCCGGCTTGTCTGACCTCTCTATTTGCCTTCTAGGATCCTGCACGGTTGCCTACCCTGCCTGCACGCTACCTGTTGCTGATACCTGGTATCCTGATCCGGCACCCGTGCACCCCCTGCCTGACACACACTGTCTCAAACCCAGTGCTCATCAGACAGGGTTGCAAGGGAGGTCCTCCTCATCATCTCGGGCCCACACCGCGGACCTAACAGTGATGCCGCGTGTTCTGTAAACGAATTAATATACGCCCGAATATAGTGTTTTGAATATTCGGGCATATAATAATTTGTTATTACGGATTCAGATGAACCGCTGAATCAACGGAATTTCATTGATTTGCAAGTTTGTCTGAATCCGAATGCAAATGTCTACCATCTATGTGCATTCCAAATGTCTTCCTTGTTTCGTTGTTGAAACCTATTAATTCCAGTCTATGAGTAAAAGAACCAGAACTTGTGAACTTCAGGGACAGTCAGGAATATTATTATTATTATATAGGCTTTATATAGCGACCAAACAGTTTGCGCAGCTCTTTACAATATAAGGAAGACATTACAATCACAATACAATTCAAGATGGTAAGGAGGGCCCTGCTTACAATCTAAAAGGGAGGGAGAAGTGATAAATGAGGAGGTAGCTGTGTGGGGATGAATTGTTTGAGAACGTGATGGTTCAATAGTTAGGTTGAGGTGGAATAGGTTTTTCTGAAGAGATGAGTCTTTAGGGGAAAACTAAAGGCAGTCAAGGTGGGAGATAGACGGACAGGTTGTGGTAAAGAGTTCCAGAGGATGGGAGAGACTCTAGAGAAGTCCCGGAGGCGAGTATGTGAGGAGTTGACAAGGGAGCTGGAAAGCAGGAGGTCTTGGGATGAGCGGAGTGGACAGTTAGGGTGATATTTTGAGACAAGGTTTGAAATATAGCCAGGGGCAGAGTTGTGGATGGCTTTGTAAGTGATTGTTAATATTTTGAATTTTATCCTTTGGCCGAGTGGAAGCCAGTGTAAGGATTGACAGAGGGGGGTTGCAGACACTGAGCGGTTGGTCAGGTGGATGAGTCTAGCAGCTGCATTCATGATAGACTGAAGGGGGATAGCCTGTGTAGTGGAAGGCCAATGAGGAGGGAGTTGCAATAGTCAAGACGAGAGATAACAAGTGAGTGGATGAGTAATTTAGCGGTTTCATTGGTGAGGAAGGGGCGTATTTTGGAGATGTTACGAAGGTGAAAGCGGCAAGATTTGGATAGTGATTGGATGTGGGGAAGACAGGTGAGGTTCCAGTCAAGGATGGCACCTATGACCTTGGCATGAGGGGGAAGATGGATAGTGTTATCAATCTCAACCGAAATGTTGGGGGAAGGTGCACGGGCAGGAGGAAATATCAAGAGCTCAGTTTGTGAAAGATTGAGTTTTAAGAAGTGTTGTGACATCCAGACTGATATGTCAGTTAGTAGATTAGTGACACGCAAGGACACTGAGGGGGTGAGTTGTGGAGTGGAAAGATATATTTGAATGTTAGCAGCATAGAGATGGTATTGGAAGCCATGTGAGGTTATTAAGTGACTAAGGGAGGAAGTGTGGATAGAGAAGAGAAGGGGTCCAAGGACAGAGCCTTGGGGGACCCCTATAGAAAGAGGAAGAGGAGTTAGATTTGTAGGTGACACTAAAGGAGCACCTAGGTAGGAGGAGAACCATGAGAGAGCAGAATCTTGTAGGACAAGCGAGTGGAGTTTTTTGAGGAGCAGCGGGTGGTCAACAGTGTCAAAAGCAAATGAATATGAAGTGGAATCCTTTCTTGACTACAGATGAGTACACATTTCATTGCTGTATCTGGTTCATTGGAAATATTTCTTCCCTGGGGATCGATCTTGGATCCCAGCTCGTGATTCTCATGCTGGCTAATGTAAAAGGAAGTTCCATCTTCAACATCCAAGTAAGCCTGGGGGTGCAGGAGCAACCCCCAGGAAGGGAAGGTGGGTCATTGTCCAAAATGTCTTGGTATGCTGATGTCCTAAGAGTTCCCTTCACTGCAACTAAGGGGCTAAGCCCAACCCCTGAAAAACAACCCCACACCATAATCCCCCCTCCACCAAACTTCACAACTTGGCACAATGCATTCAGGCAAGTACCGTTCTCCTGGCAACCGCCAAACCCAGACATGTCCATCGGATTTCCAGACAGAGAAGTGTGATTTGTCACTCCAGAGAAAACGTCTTCACTTCTCTAGATTCCAGTGGTGGGGTGCTTTACACCACGGCATCCGAAGCTTTGCATTGATTGAATCATCAGAGGAACATCACTTCATCAATCCATAGGAAAGGAAGAAGCACAAACCTGATCCCAGGTTATTCATCAGCAAAACCAAGGTTCTAGGAAGAGCAATGCATGTATTCCCCATAGAAGAGACACAAGCGATTTCTGAACACTGGGTCCAAACAACAGGTGAGAGGCAAAAGGTGGAGGTTTTTGGATATCACCACTTCACAAAGGATTTATATTTTCACGGTTAAATGTACTGATATCTGGAATATCTGGAATTGGTTTTGTTTGTGACAATACTATGTAGTGCTTTCATTGGAGGGGCAGTGCTGAAGGTAGGATGAGTATTGCAGCTAGAATAGCTATTTTATTATTTTGTCAGCTTTCTTGGTGACTGATTTTTTTAAAAACTTTTTTATTATGCTGGAGTTGGGCCCTAAGTATATGTCACAGTTGCCCACTATAGTAGACCTCATATACCTGTGATCAAGTATAAAGACTCGAATGTAGTATTCACACTTACATTCCAGCAGCAGGAAATGTCATTACTCTTTATGCTAAAATTAGAATATTCTAAAATGTAAATTTCCAGAGTCTTCAATTACACATAATTGTGTACTGTCAGTGTAGTATGCTTCCACAGTACTGGAATGCAGAATGTGGCACACCATTGCTGACACACACTTATTTGTGTGTTGGTCCAGGATGATCTACAATATCCTAATCTTGCCTTGCTTAAGACCAAGTCCCCATCATCTGTGGATGCAAAGCTTAAAACGTGAACGTGTTCTTGTTTATTAAAAGTGTATGGAGAGACCTAGGGGGAGGGTTGGGGGCCCTGTGAGGTGAGACGCATTGGGGTCCCATGATTTCTAATGGGTGCCCTGACACCACTGGTCCCTTGTACCATTTTGTGCTGGTCTGAACCTGCTCTTTCTTCATTGAAATGTACAGCTGAAAAGTACTTCTGGGCATAAAGCATACAGGGACATTAGGCCAAAATTAAGGGCATTTCCATACATACAGTACATTAATTGAGTTATAATACAAAACATGCATTTTTTTTCATTAATTGTTTTCTTTCTTTTATTCTTTTTTTTTTTTTTGCATGAGACTGTCCGGAGATCAGGAAGTGAATGATATTACTATGTAGGTAGCTCACATAGGTTTGGAAAGGAAGTCACACATTTCTTGAAGAAGTTAGCATTTCTGCCAAATGACAAAATGACACACCTATTTCCAGAACCACAACAATATATCATCACAAATTCTCTTTACTGGTATAGTATATAAATGTATGCACAAAAAAGTAAGCATACAATTATGGTGCAACTATGAAGTGCAGGCAGGTTCTTTCACAGTAGCAGCTAACGGGTATTTTGTGATTCCACACACATTTTTTCCAAGCAAAACTCTGAAATAGCCCTGTGAATTGAAGAATTAACATGTTATACATTGAAAGAAATATAATACAAAAATATGTTATAACCAATTAAAGATAGTATGATGAGTCATGCTCACTATTTGTCAAACGTACTGTTCTTTTTAATTGTTAAGCAAAGTTGATTATCTCTTGTGTGTACTGTTAACTTTTACACTGTGTTTATACTATATAAATATTTCTTTTTTAGAAGTTTCTGACATATTTGAAGTTGTCATTAAAAAATAATTTACATATTAACACGCAGTTGTTAAAGTGACACTAAACTTAGGAGTTAAATCTTAAAAACGCATTTAAATATCTTACCTATGAACAAAAATATATCTTATGTGTGTATCACTCGACTGTAGAACCCCAAATCATCTCTATATTGGTGCTGACACCGTCCTTCCTTCTGGAGGATGGCTACTTTTGTTCCCCATGGTCCCTGTGTGTTGTAAAGTAGTCATTGCTCCAAACTCGGTCCCGTGATGTTGTACAATCTCACGTTCAGTATACTCATTTGTATTAAGATTGTAGTCTATCACGGGGAGGGAGCTCGGAGCGGTGACTACTTTACAACGCACACAGGGACCATGGGGAACAAAAGTAGTCACCCTCCAGAAGGAAGGACAGTGTCAGCACCAATTCAGAGATGATTTGAGGATCTACAGCTGAATGATACACAAATAACGTACATTTGTGTTAATAGTTAGGGTGCTTGAATGCATTTTTAAGGTTTAACTCCTACGTTTAATGTCACTTAATGTTTACCTTTTATACCTTGTTTCATGTAACAGCCATATTCAGCCACCCCCATCCTGCCCACCTCCGCTTACCTGAATCGTGGAGTTCTTCTCCCTCCAGGCTGCTATTTTTTTTTTTTTTATCTCTGTCCACACGTCTGCATCATGCATTCACATATCCACCAAAGCATAGGGACTTGTAGTTTTCAATGAAGTACAAGTGTGGTGACATCACTGCACTTGTAGTCCATAGACAATTCCTCCTTGTTATGGACAGGGATGGGAGGAAAAGTCTACAGGGGCCAGAGCATTGCACCCTTTACCATTAAAACAAGACCCTATTCTGTATCTATAAAGCTTATGAAGAAAGAAGTTCACAACACACTTGGTGTATACGTGAACACATGGAAAATTACTTGATTTTAGATGCATTCACGCAAAGTGCGGCAGAAACCAACTGAAGCTCTTATAGTCCCTACCGCCCCACTCTTTGCGTTTTACTGTATGTTCTATACCCTAGTCTACTGTGAACTGTGCTGTACATTACATACTCCTGACCACTCCACTGTATGCTGTACTCTTTAGTATTACTGCTGAATGCTTCAATATGTGTATTGTATGTTGCATATTTCTGGCTACTCTACTCTGTATAATGTGCTGTACATTATATATTCCTGACTGCTCCACTCACTGTGTGCTCTACTCTACTCCACCCGCTCTAGCCAGTATGCCATTCTTTACATTGTTTCAACTAAATATACAGCACTACTAGCTCAATTAGTGAATATTTAAAACTAAATGCAGGTGTGTACACACAAACTAATCTTATTTATCTGACAACAAGTGACATGTCAAACACAATGTTATAAAATTATTCCTATTTAGTATCAATAGAACCGTGACTGAAAACAAAATATCAAATCATTGTGCTATCATGTTTCAAAAATAACATTTTCTTTGTATCCTTCACATTACTTCTAATGTGTGATAAATCACTGTGCAATCAACATATACGAGAACAAGAAAGTCTATGTGATAATTTGGCTCCACTTCAATATAGGTGGTCGAGCCTCCCAGTGTTCTAAATAGTAATAATTTTATAACATTGTGTTTGACATGTCACTTGTTGTCAGATAAATAAGGTTAGTTTGTGTATACACTCCTGCATTTAGTTTTAAATATTCACTAATTGAGCTAGTAGCGCTGTATATTTAGTTGAAACATCTTTAGACCTACTGGTTTATAGTACAGCAGCTTTCAATTAATACTCACCGATAATATACAATCACTTTATAAATTAATTTTTCAGTACACATTGCATCGATTTGAAGTTGTGACAGAAGACCTAGGATTTTATTCTAATTATTCGAGATTCACCTGTAATTGTTTTGCCACTCAGTTTGATTACCATTCATTTATCTATGGTTTACATTTTATTGGTTTATGTTCATACGTAAAACATCGAACCCCTAGCGCTGTTCATTCAGTTAAATAAACCATTCTTTACATTACCTACTGCTAATGCTGCACATGAACTCTTCTGTATGTTAGGTACTCTAGACTGCTCCATTTTGTACACATGGCCCCTTCCCATGAAAATAAATGTATCTTTCATGGGAAGGGGGCATCCAGGGGTAAAGAAGACTGTCACAAGTTTTTGATTGGATAGATGTAAATGATAAAAAAAAAAATTAAAGCCAGAGAAGAAAAATGAAGGATGTAAGAAGAAGAACATCAGATGAATGCAGTGTTTACCTTTTCTCCCCACTCAGGACCATAGCTGTTCTTCACAATCCAGTGAGGTTGACGTGCCTCTAGTTGTAAAATATAAGTTCTGTTATGTTGTGACAGAAGAAAACGTCCATACATATTACATTTGTGGTGTAGACCAGGGCTCAAAATTTCAACTCCGCCCTAAACACACCCTCTTAATCAGCTCACATAGAAAAAAAGAGCTCCCTCACCTGCTTGCCGTTATGCAGGGAGGAGGCACGAATCCGATCCCTCGTGATTAAGTCAGGTACGGACCACGTACCTGACTTATGAGAGCAGCCGCTCCTTGCTGTCCTGGCTCCGTTCATTTCGGCCGGAGCTCTGACAGTTCTGAGCCCCGCACGCGATCCGTGACCGCGTGCCTGACTGAATTTCCACTTTTCAAATTTTGAGCCCTGGTGTAGACGGTGCCCAAGCACAACCAAGAACACATTTAATATACGTAATTAAATGTATATATGCCAGAATATGACAGGGATAAGTTCCTTTTATTTAGATTACCAAAATGAACTTTACTCATATAGTAGAATAGCTAACAACATTTTGTCCAATCTATGCTTTCTCAGAATAAACCAAAACTGAAGTTAACTGCCTTTCTGGAAGAGGAAGAAGGGATTGGTCCTCAGCAGCAAGTATCACTTAGACTAGCCATATCCTTGCAAATCTCCCTTCC